CAATAATTCTGACTTAGACTTCATTAACTGTGTTTAATTATATTTAATGTTTAACTACACTAGAGGAATTGATAAATGATAAATCTAATGAACATAAGATGACATATGATCTGATAGCTACAGTCATGTAATCAAACAATTTGATTCTAAGACTGGAGGGAAGTTCTGCCTCAGAAGGAATCTGACTTGTAGCCATATAATAAAAAGATACACCTCTCTGTTGAACTGTTTCATATATTGATTCATCAATAATAATGGTGGAGGTAAGAACATTTTCTAATGCACTTTGCCATGTTGACACAAAAGTTGGACAGTCTGGCCAAAACGTGGCTTTTCACTTGGGCTGTGTTTCCGATGTGAGGAAACATTTTACGGTCATCAAAAGGCTCTCTCCACAAAATTAGCAACCATGGAAAATAAAACCTTTGAAAGAAGTTATATTTTATTATTTTTATGACAATAATAATTATGGCAATACAAAACAACATTCCTGTTGGAAAATGATTCATTCATATTCTACAGAATACGTTCTACTGCAACGTGAACCTTGTTTTTACATAGTTTTTTCTTCAGCCTTTATTTAACCATCATTGTCTGACTCAGTTAATAGTCTGACTCTATAAATTTCAATAGGTGGCATGATGTTAGAGACCATTCCAAAAGGCACATATAAAAAAGGACATTTTCTCCTTTAATATTGGAAGTGTTCAAACATTTCTAGCAAGTTACAGAAGTAAATAAATTCTGTGTAACATAAGAAAGTTGAAAAGAGCTACAGAATTAAGGGCACTTACTCAAAAAGAGGTCATTTAAGTAATAAAGAACACAAGTTTAACTCAACCAAACATAACCAAACTGACCTCCTCACAAATGACCCAGGCAGTTTATAAAGACATGGACTAGTCCTAGACAAACAAAGGGGGACTGTACTAACTACTAACATTAATTAACTAACAAACTCAAGATGTGCAAACATAAATTATTAAAAGAAAACTATATACAAAGACATTTTAGTGTTAAGCTAATAATAGAGACACCATAAAAAGAAAGGATTTGAGAAATCTTAAATCAAAGTCCCCCCCCTCTTTTCCAGGCTTCAGGCTTTTTACCAGAGGAGCTGAGTGAGACAAACAAAAAGGTAAGTGTTGGCAACAATCAAAAGACCATGTGACAGAATGGTAACTCAATTGATTGTGCCAAAATTAGAAAACAAACTGAATAAAGAGTGTTACATTTGAAAATAAAGGACATAAAAAAGAAAAGAAAAGTTTTGTCATTTTTTGACAATGTTTGGGTTTAGAATGTGATGAAATCTAAATAAATACTAACACTGGTGGGCAGCTGCTGATGTGGCCGTCACACATCACACGGCTAAAGATAGGACTGAACAGATGTGACAGCCTGATTTTCATGCTGTATCTTATTTACCATGTGCAGGAAAGATGTTTGTAACTCACTGATAATTACACTGACAGTCAAACATAAACATTATTAACAATAATAATGTACAATTTCAATAGTTTAATTACACTCTACGTGTCTTAATCAGGAAATCCTCCTGTTTTGCTTTCTTTCCTTTGTTTTGAAGCTGCATCAGCATCACAGTCATTTACTCTACCAATGGTCCATTGGGTTTGTTTGGTGGAAATCTCAACATGTTCAGGCTAATTATTAATTTTACAGGTGATATCTTTTGTTCCTTTAAAGACAAATGAACATAATCATGAGAGTGAAAAGTAAAGTGCATACCTTCTGTGGGGCTTTCAGCAGCCTGTGAAATCCAGCAATCTGATTGATCAGAGGAATATCTTCCCTGAAAGTGTACAGAGGTGGTCTGGTGGGCTCGGGGAAATTGGTGCTGTTGAATGGATCAGTATCATCTAAGAACTGTACCCTGCACATGAACGTAGCCATGATGTATCCATGCACAGCAGTTTTGGAGATGATCAGAATAAATGAATGGCTGCAGCCTGTGACAGACAGCCCTCCCCGGCCAGCGGACTGCTGGCAGGTCTCCTGCAGCACTGAAACCCTGCAACCTCTTATAAGGGACAAGCAGCGAAGAGGACTCGGGACAGTGTGCACTGAAGTAACATTCAGGGAAAACTCCGTGAGAGACGCGGTCAGATAGATATTAGACAAATACAGAAGCTGGAGATTAGTTAAATGGCTAAAAAAACAGATGACCACGGTGGCCCTGAAGTGCAAATTACAAAAGCAAATGGGAAAACACAACAATGCAGAGATACAGTAAAATGCATTCTGCTTTTGACGGTGGAAATAACTGTATGGAAATATAAGGCAATGACAGTTTGGTCACAGGTCAAGTTGTGCTGAGATTCGATGGGTTCTAATACAAATCCCCATCTGTAACTCACAAAACATAGCTGTGGCAGTTGACCATGCCACGGGGTTCCCATCACGACAGCCAGAGACAAACCAGTCCACCCATTGCTTGCTCAGCAACATCTTTTTATTGCAGCCAACAGAACATACAAAACATGGAACTTAATGGGTCCAGCACTATCTGCTGGACCTTTGGCTTCACCAAGTCTCTCTTCCCCAGTGTGTGTTCTCTAGAGGCAGCTCTGCTGCTGCCTTTTCAAGTCTGAGGATCAATCAGCTAACAGCTCTCACCTGTGCTGACTGATCCTCTGTGGTGCAGGTGAAGGTGCTCTCTCCGCCCCTTCACCTCCACAATAGCAAATCACCAAACTCAACAAAAAAATGGCAAATAAAAAAAACACAGTTGCAAATGAGAAACAAGAAATCCCAAAACACAGCAAATCAAGAGACCCAATGACAAATCACAAAACGCAACAACAAATCAAAGTAAAAAGCACTTCAAAGGCCACAATAGATGATTTACGGTTAAATATGAAAAGCACCCCATTGAGCATATAAGTGATAGAGAATAAATAATTAATGAGTTTATGACACTATGACACGTTAAAATGTAGTGAGCTAAGAGTTTTGTGATCTAGAGTGAACCTTGAACATGTCTTTATTATATTAATTTTTCTTATCAGTGTCTGTGAATGAGTCGTACCTGTGAATAAGTGATAATTGTTTAATAAAATGCTGGAATCATTTGTTTTGGAAGTATTTGTTTGATCAATTTCATCTATGTTTGTGTACATTGCATGAGATTTGGGTAACTCTTTATACGCAGGTTGTTATGGGAGAAGTAATAATGTTTGATATATCATAAACCAGGATAGATCAGATAGACAACTGAAGAGTTGAGCAAATAAAACTAAACTGTCTACGTAGCTCAAATTATTTTGCAGTTATTACAACTCTTATTTTAGATTATGATGTTAGAGATTAAGTCTTTGTCTCATTTATCATAAAATATCACATTAGGCTCGATATCCAACTCAAGATTACATACTTTAATGCTTACAGGAAGTAAAAATATTTTTGTCATTTGGATGAGGTGACTGATACAGGTGCTCGTATACAATAAATCCTATAAAAATCATTCTTATCTCCAGTAAGCCTCACAGGAACAGTGAACTCTGTAATACAACCCTTCCCTATTAGATAAGACACTGGTTGATTGCCATGTGTTCTTGCTGGGACACACTTAAAAGGCTGCACACTTCCTGCTGATGCTCTCTGACAGCACAGTTGAGTCAGTCTATTACAGTGGTCCAGTACATCTCGCAGTGTGAGCAATACAATTTACATTTTAGCACATTATCACAAAAAAACAACTACAGGTCCAGTGTTTCCTCGATCATGAAGCTACAAATCCCCAATCCGGGCCTGGAGGAAAGGTTACTGTCCTACGAGCAGCTGGAAAAGCTGGAGGTAGAAGAGGCTGGAGACCGACCAAAATGGGAAAACAAGACGCAGTACATGCTGACCTGTGTGGGGTTTTGTGTGGGGCTCGGAAATGTCTGGCGCTTCCCCTATCTGTGTCAGAGTCACGGAGGAGGTTAGTGATGTTTTCATAGTTTTCTGCACTTCTTCCATATTCAACTATTTTTTCAACAATACAGCTGGAGTAGATTTAAAAGAATTCATGCCTCATTAAGTCAAATTCAGGACAAACTGGAAGAGCATGAAGTATGTGTCCGCTAATGCCACCAGGATTACATTTTCAGTTGCCAGCTTGTGAGAAAGAGAAAGAAAATTTAAAAAAAAGAAAGTTCTTCTCGTATATTCTCTATCGTTACATTGATTTTTCTGTGTTTCTGTTTTTAGTTTCATATTTGCGGTTGAGCTCAAAACGTGGGCTTGTTACTGATTTGTTCACATAAAAAATATTTACTGGCAGGAAATCCTTGAAAAAGTGCTGCAAAAGCTTGAATGGATTGAATTGCATAATAACTCCACATGCAATCACTATGAATAATTAACAAGGTTTTGTAATGTATCTCTTACATCAGGAATACATTCTTACTCAGCTCTCTGATATTTTTTCCAAGATTTAAAAAAAACAGATAATGATGTATTCGAAAGGTACAGAAATGTTTGAGTGTCACAATGCTAACATTTCCTTGGTTTCTCCTCCAGGTGCATTTATGATACCGTTTCTGATCCTACTGGTCCTTGAAGGAATCCCACTTCTGC